TTAGGACTGAATATTTTAGAAGCACCATTTGCTATAATTAAAAAGCCATCATGTAGTGGATACAGAAAACACTAGGGGAAGATGTAACCGTTATGGGAAGCTGGGAAAAGGGTCTCTATGACTTCTTTGTATTATTTCTTACAATTGCATGTGAATCTACAGTTATCTGAAAATTAAAAATTTATTAAACACTAAAAAAAATTAACAGGTAGGCTAGGCAGAACTTATGCAGCTTAGGGTTGATAAAGACCCTACAATATCTGAGGGGCATCTCTGAACACGGAACAGAGGGCTTTGAGAGAGGAGGTTAGAGCAGCTCAGGGAAGGCAAGATCTGGAAATCAGAACTTTCCCAGGGTCTCAAGAGCTCTCCGGAGAAGGCACTGGCAACCCACTCCAGTACTCTTGCCTGGAAAATCCCATGGAAGGAGGAGCCTGGTAGGCTGCAGTCCATGGTGTTGTGAAGAGTCAGACATGACTGAGCAACTTCACGTTCACTTTTCACTTGCATGCATTGGAGAAGGAAATGGCAACCCACTCCAGCGTTCTTGCCTGGAGAGTCCCAGGGACGGGGGAGCCTGGTGGGCTGCTGTCTATGGGGTCACACAGAGTTGGACACGACTGAAGCGACTCAGCAGCAAGAGCCGTCATGCATGAAGATGTATGTGTGTGTATGTTGGGGTGGGTGGGGGTGGCAGTCATGGGTACTGGGAGTTAGAAATAGTGTCCAAACCTCACCATTAAATTATCTCATTATTCTTTTTCAAAAGCAAACCTGTCTTAATCTGATAAGCAACTATAGTCTCAAAATCAAGCAGATTTCTATCATCAGGTGAAAAAAAAAAAGCAAGTTAGAAAAATATATGCAATATAGTGACTGGACTCCTAGCTCCATGAGAGAGAGAAGAAACCTGAGTTGTTATCCTCCTGGGTCCCTGTTTTAAAATATAAGTTTGATCATTATTCAGGCATGGTGAGTCCAGTAGATGGGGAAATGAGTGGAAATGAGTCACAGCTCCTAAGAGGACGATAGATCACACCATGCAGGGCCACGAAGGGAAGCACCAGCGTCCACCAGGAGTCAGGCAGAGGGATCAGGGAGTGGGGGGGAAATGGGCAAGAAGCTCTATTGTGGTTTCTCAGGAAGGAATAGGTATAGTGGGGTAGGCAGCTTTAGAAATGGCAAGTTTGAATAATTCCAGTAAACTCTGGGGCATCCGGACTGTTCCTAGTTGCCTGGTACCTGACCCTGGCTGATTACGGCTCTGGGTTGGTTGGTTTATATATGAAAGGTGCTCTCATGGGAGTTCTTTACTATCTCTAGGAACTGGCTACCCTGAGAGGGTCAGGGTCTCCAGGGAGTCAGCAAGACCCCAGAGGTCAAAGCACCAAAAACACTTCATGAATATAGTGCCCAAGTTCTTGATCAAATCCTAGTAGCTACTGAGGACTCAGTGGATATTTGCTGAAAGAAGGAAAGAAGAGATGGAAGGAAGGGACAGAGTTGGCTTGTTGAGGACATCTCAGATGCCTTTACCATCCTCTCTTGTCCCTTGGGCTAGATGGGAACCCCCATCCCATGCCCCAACCATTCAGAAACTCTCCTCCTAACAAGCAACTCAGACCCCTGATTACAGAAATGGGTTCACCAGGGAGCGATGCTCCCCCTGCCCCTGGGAGGGAATCTCTTAGACTCAGACAAGATTCTGTTTTGTTTTTTTTCATATTGCTTGTGGGTTTGTGGACAGGGAACCTGGTCCCATCACTTCAAGGCAAATAGATGGGGAAACAATGGAAACAGTGACAGACTTTATATTTTTGGGCTCCAAAATCACTGCAGATGGTGACTGCAGCCATGAAATTAAAAGACGTTTGCTCCTTGGAAAAAAAGTTATGACCAACCTAGACAACATATTAAAAAGCAAAGACATTACTTTGCCAACAAAGGTCCATCTAGTCAAAGCTATGGTTTTTCCAGTAGTCATGTATGGATGTGAGAGTTGGACTATAAAGAAAGCTGAGCTCTGAAGAATTGATGCTTTTGAGCTGTGGTGTTGGAGAAGATTCTTGAGAGTCCCTTGAAGTGCAAGGAGATCCAACCAGTCCATCCTAAAAGAAATCAGTCTTGAATATTTGTTGGAAAGATGGATGGGGAAGCTGAAATTCCAATACTTTGGCCATCTAATGGGAACAACTGACTCATCTGAAAAAATCCTGATGCTGGGTAAGATTGAAGGCAGGAGGAGAAGGGGACAACAGAGGATGAGATGGTTGGATGGTATCACTGACTCAATGGACATGAGTTTGGGTAAACTCTGGGAGTTGGTGATGGACAGGGAGGCCTGATGTGCTGCAGTCCATGGGGTTGCAAAGAGTTGAACACAACTGAGCGACTGAACTGAACTTGTGGACAGGGAATCCTGCCCAGAGGAAAAAATCCAAATACCTCTAAGGGCTGCAAGTGAAAGCAAGCCCCCACCTGACCTCCCCTTCTCCAGCCCCCAGGTCCCTGGCTCTGTTCCCTTTCATCCCTCGGGAGGGAGTCTCTGAAGACGAAGACCACAGTTCCTCTTCTGTGCCATCACACAGATGTAAAAATTGTTCTCTGCTCTGCTTTGTTCACTTAACAATACATCCTGGAGCTTACTGCACACCGGCTAAGAGTGACCTAGTACCTGTAGCTCCGGAGAGGCCCCAGTCGACTCAAGCAGACCTCTCCTGATTGACAGAGAACCAGGTTGTTTCCGGTTCTGGCCTCTGTAAATCATGCTGCCCTGAGTATCCTGTGTATGTAATTCATGTGCAGGTGTGGGTGTCTATAGGGTCAATTCTGGGAAATGGGATTGTCTTGTGGAAGGTGCATACTACGTGCTAAGTTGCCCCAGTCATGTCTGACTCTTTGCAACCCCATGGACTGTAGCCCGCAGGTTCCTCTGTCCATGGGATCCTCCAGGCAAGAATCTTGGAGTGGGTTGTCATGCCCTCCTCCAGGGGATCTTCCCCACCTAGGGATCAAACCCAAATCTCTTACGTCTCCTGCATTGGCTGGCAGGTTCTTTACTCTTAGCGCCACCTGTGAAGCCTTGGGGAAGGTACATGTGCATTAGATTTTCAGGTTGCCACCCAGAGAGATGGTATTGATTTCCACCTCCACTACTATATATGAAAGGTAACAGGCCTATGTGTCTGTCTGATTTAATGCTTAGCTAGATGGCAGTTCTTCAATCCTGGGGTCTGGTTGGGAGATCAAGTCTGGAATTTCAGATTTGTAATCCACCCCCACCCAACATCTGACCCTGGGGACACAAAATGTGTCTGGGAGATGGGAAGGTGGTCAGGTTACCTCTCCAGGCCTCAGTATCTTCACCTAAGAATGAGGAGCCAACTATAGCTGATGATCTCAAAGTTCCCTTCCATCTCTCGTCTTTCTGCCTCTCCAAGTCTCTATGTCCCTGTAAAGTGGGACTAATAGTCCCTATCTCACTTATCTTGTGATATAAGGCTGCTGTAAAGGTGATGTAGGGAAGCAATGAGGTGGTGGACATGCCTGGAAAGTTAGATGCTCTGCCAAGGAGAGGAGTAACAACTAACACTCTCGGATTCCCCTTGCCAAACCACCAGCATGGCCTGAGACATACAACAGGTACTCCAAGTTTTAGCCTGAAGAACTATTGTAAGGGGAGGCAGAATAATGTTCAGGCATTGAACCATGGAGCCTGGCATACTGTGGGTGCCCACTAACTGTTTCACTATGGAGGCTGTTCCCAGGACTAGTGTGACAATGCTCTCCTCCAAGGCATCATCTGACTTCGGGGACTGCTTGGTGCACAAGCTCCGTGGGATCTTTGCTTTTCTCCTCCCTCTATCCCTTCACTTCCTTTGCCTGGGGTATGTAGATTCAAATAAAACTTCCTATTCAGGAGTCACAAACTCCAATCCCGTCTCCATGACCACAGCAACACACTGGGAAGACAGTAGAAATTGGTGGAGGGTGTGGTGACCCGGGGCAGCTGTTGTCAGGAGGAAATGAAAGCCCACTTTTTTCCCTAGAGATTTTCAAGAGAAGCCATAAATCCATAAGTTCCCTGAGTTCTCCTGGCTGTAAAACATTGCTTACTCAAGAGTTTTTTCCAAAACACTGTGGGAATGAAACAAAACCCGCCGTGAACTAGTGGCAGCCTGTGTGCGCTCAGCGGTGTCTGACTCTTGGAGACCCCGTGGACTGTAGCCCCCCACACTACATGGCCATGGGATTTCCCAGGCAAGGACACTGGAGTGGGTAGCCATTTCCTACTCCAGGGGATCTTCCCGCCCCTGGGATCGAACCTGTGTGTCTTGCATCGGCAGGTGGCTTCTTTTACCACTAGCGCCGCCTGGGAAGCCCAACAGGCCAGTTCAGTTCAATTCAGTCGCTCATTCGTGTCCGACTCTTCGAGACCCCATGGGCTGCAGGACGCCAGACTTCCCTGTCCATCACCAACTCCCGGAGTTTACTCAAACTCATGTCCATCACAGTTTTAAAATTTTAGAAACTGCGGCCCTCCCTCACTGTAGGGATGAGAAAATTGCCCCCCCCCCAAAAGAAAAGAAAAGAAAAGAAAATTGGGCCCAGAGAGGGGGAGACATTTTCTAGAGGCAACACAGTCAAGATCAGAGCCCAGGTCCACTCGCCCACTTTCCTCCTCTCTCGGTCTCTCCCTTACTCCCCCTCCCTCTCCCCCACAGCCCCCAACTCCTTCCCCCATCTTGACTGTCTCTGCGTCTTTCTGTCTCTCTGGCGTGTGTCTGCCCTGTATCGCTGTCTCCATCTCCACCTCCGATTCTGTCCTGTGCGCATCTCTGCGATTCTCTCAGCATCTCTGCCTTTGTCCCCTACCCGGGTGTTCTCTTAGCCATCAGACCTTCGAAGTTGGATGCAGAAACCACCCCGCTCCAGCATCCCATTCTGTGGCTCGTGCCTCCTCCCCCCACTCCTCCGCCCGCCGCCCCCGCCCCAGATTTCCGGCGGAGCAGGCAGGCAGGCGGGCAGGCGGGCCGGCGGGCGGGGTACCCACGGGGCCCGCTGCCGTCAGCGTCCCTTCCCGGCGGCCGCGACCCCTCCGCGCTGACCTCACCCGCGCCGCCGCCTCGCGCAGATATAAGCAGCGGCCCCGCGGCGAGGAGGGCAACCGGCGCCCCGGGTCCTACCAGCGCTCCACGACTCCTGACCCTCCGACCCCAGACCCCGAATCTCCGGATCGGAGCCCAGGATCCCGGACCGGTCCGCGGAGCTCGTGCCAGGCAGGTAACCACTCTCGGTCCCTTCTCCCCGCGGGCGGCGTCCGGGGCCCGGGAAAGGGGGGCGCTTTGCCCTCCCTCCAATGCGCCCCGCGGAGAGCGGCGGCTTTGGAGCTCGGAGCACGCCCGGGAGGGGCGCTGCGCTTGCACCCCCGGGTCTTCCACGGCGCAGGCACAGGGCTGGCGGTCCCTCAGGCGTGCACGTCCGGGCTTCTGGAGCCGCGCATCGCGGGGAGGTTCGCATTCCACTGCTGCCGGGCTTTCCCGAGCTGCAGGTCCGCGCCAGGATGCCGAGGGCCGCGCTGGGCAGTCAGGGCACCGGCGGGAGAGCCTGGGAGTTAGAATTCGAATCCAGACCTTACAGACAGAATGTTCACGGTGGCAACCGACCTCAGTCTGAGAATCTCAGTCTCGGAGCTAGAAATAGGATTTTAGCCTATTGAAATTAGCCTCTTAGTGTTAGAGTTTGATTCCTAGCCTGGCCCTAGAATCTTAGCGTTAGAAATAGAGGCAGGGTTGCAATCAGAACGCAGTAGAAGGCGTGTTGGAATAAAACCGTTGCTTTGTGAACCTTGGGGGAGAATTTTAGCCTGCGACGCTGCAGGTTAGCATCCTGGCCATTGGGCCCGCGCTGCAATCTTGGTGGTTACACTCCTGGAAAGTCATTTCCAGGAGTGGCATTGAGAAGTGGTGGTGGAGATGGGGTCCCGTGGCTTCCTGACTCTCACAGCTAGACCTGGGGGCAAGCAGGCTGTCCAAGCATCCTTACGGCTGAGGATGCCCAGGACTCAAGGCAGATCCTCCAGCTGACCTCGCCCTAACGTGGCAGATGGTCCTGCTCCCGGAAGGGCATTTGAACAGTTGACACCCCTGCAACTCCCCCCTATCCCCGCCCCGCCTCGGGTATCGGGGGGATAGAAAAGGGAACCATAGAGCAGGCTGGGAGGGTAGCGCAGCGGTGTACCTATGTTCTCGTCCTGTCTCCCTACCCTAGACACCAAGATGCCTGGCCCTTGGTTTCTGTTAGCCATGGCTTTGACCTTGACCCTGATGGGTGTCCCCGGAGGCCGTGCACAGGCGGATGTGGCCCAGCAGGAGGCGAACCTGTCTGAGCAACAGGGCCTGGAAGACCTCCTGCGGCAGGCGGAGCGCCTCCTCCTCCTCCGGGAAGACCTCCAGCAACTACGAGACCAGGATGACAGCGTATCCGGTGAGGGCTGGGACTGTGTGGGGCTGGGACTGTGTGGGGCTGCGGGTTGAGAGAAGGACGCTGGCTTGAGAGGGTTAGGGGAAACCCGGCCACAGAAGAGGGAGCTTCTTAGTCATTCAGCCTCTTGCCTTTCAGAAACTCCCCCTGGCCACACATTCGGCAGGTGGCGAGTTGACTGCTTCCTGGGATCAGATTCCTTTTCCATCTCAGTTCTGGGAATATTTCAGAAGGCAGACCTTTGGTGGGAAAGAGTCTGTGCCAGGGAGAGAGAGTTTCTTTGTGTGTTACAGTGTGAATTACTAGGCACCTGTTCATACTAGGCACTGGTATGCCAGGCACCCTTCTAAGTACTTCAAACACCTCATAGCAGGATTTGACCTTCCTAAGCGTCAGATCCTAAATCTGTGTGCAGTGCAGAAGACCCAGGCTCAATCCCTGTGTCAGGAAGATCCCCTGGAGAAGGAAATAGCAACCCACTCCAGCATTCTTGCCTGGAGAATTCTGTGGAGAGAGGGCTATGGTAGTCCATGGGGTCTCAAAGAGTCGGACACAACTTAGCGACTGAACCACCAAGCCTCAGATAGGTACTGTTATTACCCTTCCACATCCCATTTTACTCAGAAGGAAACTGAGGCTCAAAGAAGTTGAGTAGCTTATGGTCACACAGCTAGGGAGTGGAACCAGAGGCCATGCCCTTGACCACCCGTGTGAGTGTGCCTGGGTCTGTGAGGCCTGAGAGGCAGGTGTGAGGCCATGAATCTGGGCTAATGCTGTGGGAATCTGTCTTGCCTGAAGGAAGGCTGGAGGGGGCATCCGGGGGTCATGGGGTCCCTCATTGGCCTCTTTCCTTCCCCAGAGTCCCAGATCTTTCAACCCGATTGGTTCTCCAAGCGTCAGCATCCTGGCAAAAGGGAGGAGGAGGCAGACGAGGGAGTGGAAGGAGAAGGGGAAGAAGGAGGGGCCGCGGGACTCCGCAAACGGCAGCACCCAGGCCGGAGGGACGACGTGGCGGCTTGGGCGGTGGACGCGGGTCAGCAGAAGCGGCAGCATCCCGGCCGGCGCGCCTCCTGGCTTGGGTACGCTGTCGCCAAGAGGCAGCACCCAGGCAGACGACTGGTGGACTCCAAGGCCCAAAGGAGCTGGGAGGAGGCAGGGGAGGACGGAGACGAGGACGAGGATGGACAGCTGTTGCCCGAGAAACGCCAGCATCCCGGAAAGAGGGCCGTGGGGAGCCCGTGCGGACCCCGGGGACCCTGCGGCCAAGCCAGCCTTCTGCTGGGCCTGCTCAACGACCTGAGCCGGGGGCAGGGGGCTGAAGAGAAGCGGCAGCACCCTGGGCGGCGGGCAGCCTGGGCTGGTGAGCCCCTGGAGGACTGAGCCCCGTTGTGTGGAAACTCAGTCTGTGGTCCAGGAGCGTCTTGAGCCCTGTGCACCCTACTCCCTGTGACCCCCCTTTTCCCCTCCTCCTTAGATGCCTGACCATACTCCCGAGCCCCCCAGTTTACACACACGTCAAACCCTTGGCCTCGCCTACCTACATCAGGGATGTGAGAAAGCCAGCCGATGAATTCAAACCCTGTGTCACCCCACTCGGCATCTCTGGCGAGGCGACAGACCCCAGAGTCCCTCTCCCCCACCCCTGCAGGCCTGCTCCCCTCCCTAGCCCTAAGATGAGCGTGTGTCTTCTAAGGGATCCCCAGAGTGGAACAGAGTGCCTTTGATGTGAGCAACCAGTGAGGGTGGGTGGGGTTGAAGCCAGCATGTTCAGATCCTGCTTCCAGCCCTTGCCATGTGCCAGGATTTGCCATGTATAAACTTCGCCCCCAGCACCCAGGATCTCGTTCTCTTCTTGGGCATCCTTTTGTGGGTGGGAAGAGCCTCTCCCCACAGCTGTGTTCCGCTTGGGAGAAACATTGTAGGTGATGCTGTGCTGTGTGCTGGCCGCGGGAATAAACAGGTGCAGGAATTTGTAAACGTCGCCCTGGAAGTCACAGCTCATATCTATCCTTCTAGGCACCTCTCTCCTAACCGTGTTAATAAAACCTGCATCTGGATAACGTCGGCGGTTGCAGTTATATCTCAGCTGGTGTGGGATTTCTCTTTATAGCATTGAGAGGGGACAGGCTAAGAGCTCCCCAGCTCTGCTGAGAAAGGAATCAGGGATCTTGCAGGGGTGAAAAGTCCTCCCCGCCATCCCCAGCTCAGAACAAGCTTGGGAGGTGGACGGGAACTCTGGAGCCTATTTGACACCTGGGGAGACTGAGTCCTGGAGAAGAGGAAGGACCTGCCAGAAGACACACAGCCAGCTGGGGCAGAGCCACGGGTGTGGGAGGCAGCTCGGGACCCTGACTTGAGTTTGCCTGATTGGTGACAGGGCTGATCTGGCCCAGTTTTCTAATCATCATCATTCTTGGCAGGAACCGAGAGTTCATGTGTCATCTGGCAGGCGCAATGAGGACAAAGGACCAGGCTGTGTTTGCGAATTCAAACCAGGGGCCTTCTAGGGCTGAGCAGGAAAGCAGGCTGGGTGTAGGACAAGAAGGAGTGGTGGGGACTTGGGCAAAAATGGAAGAGGCTGTCTGACAGCACTTCAATCCAAAAACTTTGACGTCATGTGAATCAAATAATGATAATAATAGTGACATACACCCTACATGTACTATGTGTCAGGCAGTTCTTAAGCACATTACGTATATTAATTTTGATCTTCACAATGATCCTAGGTGTTCCTATGATTAGGCCAAATTTCCTAACGAGGAAACCAACATATAGAAAGCTCAAGTGACGTGACTGGGGCTGAATTTGGCCTATTTGTGGCCACCTTCCCACTTCTGACTCAAGCTCAGAAATTTCCCTGGGTCTTCAACTGTGCGTTACACACCTTCTTTTTTTGGTGGGTGGGTGGGCTATTTAGCTCTTCTGCAGACAGTATTTGGTCAGCTTCCTGGAGAGGGAAAGAAGGGTTGGAAGGGTGTCTGAGACTCAGTTCCCCTCCTTAGTAAGGAACCACAGTTTGGGTGGGCTGGGGTTGGAGGAACTCAGGGCTATACATTCACACTTGTCATCTCCATTAATATTTGCAGAAGTCTGCTGAACAATTGAGCCTTTGATGGATTTTTCTATTTTTTGATGAGGGAACCAGCACAGAGATTAGGTGCCTGAGGTGCCTGAAGGTAGGGCTGGCCCCCCCTCTAGACCCTCTGGCTCTTCTTCACTGAACCATCAGGGCAAGCGGGGCCCTAGCAGGAAACCCTCTGCTCAGAGCCCCCCTGGACGGCAGACACCCTAATACAGGTAATGGGGGCCACTTACAGAGCTCTTCCCAGGGGCTCAGGGCCTGCAGGTGCTTACTCAGCTAATCCCACGGCAGCCCCAAGAGGTGGGCTGTCATGTCCTTTTTTGAAAAAAAATACACAGGACTGTTTGGCTGTGTTTTTTTTTTTTTTTGCTGATTAAAACAATTATTTACTATTTTTGACTGCTCTAGGTCTGTGATGCTCCGAGGGCCTTTCCCTAGTCGCGGCGAGTGGGGGCTGCTCTCGAGTTGTACAGGCTTCTCATTGCGGCGGCTTCTCTTGTTAGGACGCACGGGCTGTAGGCGCAGGCTTCAGTAGCTGCAGTTCCCCGGCTCCAGAGCACAGGCTCGGTGATCGTGGTGCATGCGCTCAGTTGCTCTGCCGCCTGTGGGATCTTCCTGGGTCGGGGATCGAACCCGTGTCTTCTGCTTTGGCAGGTGGCTTCTTCACCACCAAGCCACCAGGGAAGCCCCGCTGTGTCCTTCTGAAGCTGAATGGCAGTTGAGTGTGGAGAAGTGAAGGGCTGCCCAGGAACGCACCCTACCCTCTGCTCCTTCCAACCGCGCTCGGCATGGGTTGTTGCTACCTCTGCAGAGATGGGGCCACTTGAAGAGTGAGGCACCCACCTCCCCAGTCACGTAATGATTCCCCTCTACCCCTGAGAGCGACCAGACCACGTTGCAGTTAGTAAAGCATGCTGGGCAGACACAGACGGCAGAGCAAATCCGTCTGGCTGAGCAAAGCAGGCTTCCTGGAGGAGGAAGCATCCAAGCTGAGTCAAAGGATGAATAAGAGGGTAGACACTTCAGGCAGAAATAACGAGCATAAACAAAGGGCCAGTGGGGAAGAGATCAATGTTCCTAGAGTTGCTAACACTGGAAATCTGAGGTCTGTTGGCCCATTCCTTTCTTCGAGGAGAAATGTGGCCCATTTCTCTACCTGTTGTCTAGCGCTGATCACGGCCCCTTAGAAGCGTGAGAGAGCCGTGTGGTTTGGGAATGGAATCAAGGAAACCTTCCTGGGGGAAGGGGCACTTGAGGTGAGCTCTGAAAGATGAAAGGAAAAAGAAAGCTCTTCCTAATCTTCCTCTTTACTCTGGGCCCAGACATCAGGCAAAGCACTTTTATCCCACTGCCCAGCATATAGTAGATGATTTGTAAATACCTGCTGAATGAATTAATTACCCATCATAGTCATCTCCAGTTCAAAGAAAAGGATACCAAGAAAGAATTAAGATTAGGGTTAATCTGAAACTTGAGGTTCATCTCTACCCAACCCCTCCTCTAGCATCCAGCGTTTACCATGTCCTATAAATTTTACCTCCTAGATGTGTCTTAAGTCCACCCATTTTCTCCCAGTTCCTCTGCCAACCTCCAGGTCCTGGCCACCATCATTTGCTGGTCTCTGGCTTCCACGCTTGTCCCCAAAAGGCCGTTGTCCACACAGCAGCCAGAGAGAGGCAGATAGGACTATGGAAACCATACTGCTTAAGACCTCTTAGTAGCTTCCAACTTGCCTAGAATAAAATCCTTGCCACGGCCTGCCCAGTTGGTCTCTTTTCTGTTTCCTAAACACACTTCAGGACCTTTGTCTATGTTTCTCCCTCCATCTGGAGCCCCCTTTTCTCCTATTTCTCACATTCTCTAGATCAGTATCCTAGGGTATCTGAGGATACTTTTGAAGTATCCTAGGGTACTTCCATGAAATTAAAAGATGCTTACTCCTTGGAAGGAAAGTTATGACCAAGCTAGATAGCATATTAAAAAGCAGAGACATTACTTTGCCAACAAAGTTCCATCTGGTTAAGGCTATGGTTTTTCCAGTGGTCATGTATGGATGTGAGAGTTGGACTGTGAAGAAAGCTGAGTGCCGAAAAATTGATGCTTTTGAACTGTGGTGTTGGAGAAGACTCTTGAGAGTCCCTTGGACTGCAAGGAGATCCAACCAGTCCATCCTAAAGGAGATCAGTCCTGGGTGTACACTGGAAGCACTGATGCTGAAGCTGAAACTCCAGCACTATGGCCACCTGATGCGAAGAGTTGACTCATTGGAAAAGACCCTGATGCTGGGAGGGATTGGGGGGCAGGAGGAGGAGGGGACGACAGGGGATGAAATGGCTGGATGGCATCACCGACTCGATGGGCATGAGTTTGAGTAAACTCCGGGAGTTGGTGATGGGCAGGGAGGCCTGGCGTGCTGCGATTCATGGGGTCGCAGAGTCGGACACGACTGAGCCACTGAACTGAACTGAACTGAACTGAGGGTACTTCCTCAACTGTGGAGGTTAGAAAGCAGAAACTGCATTTCCCAGATTCCCTTGCAGCTGTAGTTCTGGAAGCACATGAAGTTGTCCGTGGGGAAGGAGTGAGATTGGGAAGGTGGCTTTGATGATTCCTGCTGGAAAGCAAGGCGATAGTGATCTGTTTCTGCAGCACCTTCCTGCTCTCCAAACTCCAGCTCTGAGTGCATCTAGAGTCGGTTGTTGATAGCACCTTTCTGGCCAGCTTCACAGCTATCATAGTATGTTCCTTTCCCTTATAAGAACTTTATTGGTGGTATATTTTACATATCCTAATATTTATTTATTTCATGAAATACTTCAGTGATTTTTGGTGAATTTACCTAGTGGTACAACTACCATTATAAATCAGTTTTAGACCATTTTCAGACCCCCAATAAAATCCCCGTGCCCATTTACAATTAATCTCTTTCCCCACTCTTAGCCCCAGGCAACCACTCATATACTTCTTCTCCATACATTTGTGTTTTCTGGATATTTTCTACAAATAGAATCTATAACATGTGGTCTCTTATGCCTGGCTTTTGCCAATTGGCACAATGCTTTTGAAGTCCATCCATGATATAGCATGTCTTGTTACTTTGCTCTTTTTGATTGCTGAATAATATTCCAAGTTGTTGTTGTTGTTCAGTTGCTAAGTCATGTCCAGCTCTCTGTGACCCGATGGACTGCAGCACACCAGGCTTCCCTGTCCTCCGTTATCTTCTGGAGTTTGCTCATATTCATGTCCATTGAGTTGGAGATGCTATCTAAACATCTCCTCCTCTCTCACCCCCTTTTCCTCTTACTTTCCATCTTTCCCAACATCAGGGTCTCTTCCTATGAGTCAGCTCTTCGCATCAGGAGGCCAAAGTATTGGAGCTTCAGTGTCAGCATCAGTCCTTCCAATGAATATTCAGGGCTGATATCCTTTAGGACTGA